TCTTGATATGGGGAAGATTAGCTTAGATTGGGGAGCAGGAAATTAGGTATACATTTGACACATTGTGTTCAAGATGCCCTTTACACAATCAAATGGCAATGATGAGAAGGCAGACCCCCACATATGAGTTCTAGTGTCCAAAGATGGGTACAGGCTAGAATTAGGAATTTCAAGTTAACAGCACTGGAAATGGACTGAAATGCTTGAAACTGGATGAAATTGGTACAGTAAAATAAAAAACGCTGGCTCCAAAATATTCCTACTTCCAATTACTTATAAGCTTCAATAAATAATTAACTTTCGTCCGCAACGACCACAATTCCTAGACCTTCCAAAACAACCTCATTTCAAGAAATTTGATTATTTTCAAAAAGGCAATTTGCTAAGTGTAACTAAATTAAATTTATTTTTAGACTATGTAAGACTTTTCTTGTAAATACATTCACAAATCAAGGAGCAAAATATCTTTCACTGGACCATATGTTCAATTTAAGATTCTAAATCTATGAACACGCCCACATAACTCTTCAAACATTAATAAAACTGTTGAAATGTTTTGCRGCCAAACCCTTTGCTTCAAGTTTACAAAGATTCCTTATGTAATCCTCACCTCAAGCCWAAGAGTAAGAACTCTTATATTCCCATTTTGCAGATGAAGAAACAAGTTTAAAGGGCCTAAGTCACATGATCAAAGTCATATACCCAGTGAGTGGTAGAGACAACCTATATAGTTACAACTCACTGATTCCAAGGAGATAGATCCACTGAGGAACTGAGGGCCTCAGCTATTCACTAAATCCTCTTGGTGTCAAAGATAACAAAAAACAGAACACACAGACAAGGCCTGACTGCCCTGGAGACCTAAGGCTATCTCAAACCCTTAACTCTTGGGCCCCAATGCCAGAAGTCTGTATGTGATAGCATTGGGCCAAGAACTAACCCTTAAGGGAGTTATTAACAACTAAGAGGAGCAATACTGAATTAGATAGAAAAAAAATGTATAGGAGTAGAGAAAAGGGAGAGATCTATAGTCTCTCAGCCACTGGAAGACAAACTCAAGGTATAGGTGCCCATAAAGGGGTCATGGATGGACCATACCCAGCCTTTGCAAAATACCCTCTGCAGATCCTTCCAGCTTCACTCTGTCTAAAAGATGCTGGAGGTTTTCCAAGACCTCCCTAAGACTTCCCAAAAAAATGTCCTAAAGAGATATGCCCTTGAGCAATATATATATCAACCTGTAGTATGGTCCCCATCAGACTTACCAGGAAGCCTGTTTAATGACCTCCCATGTCCCCAGGCTCCTCCCAGAGTATGAAAATCAGAACACCCAGGGCTGTGCCCAGGCATTTGTGTTGTAAGAATCTCCCCAAGTGAATCGGATAGGCCAGAGGGGAAGCAGGCCCATTTGGGGTAGAGGACTAGCTCCCAGAATCAGCAGGCACAGGATAACTTTGAGAGAAGCCTCGTCCATGGACTACTTCAGAAATCTGAAACAGAAACACTTTGTATACTAGCCTGCTCTTTCTCACAGTAGGCAGGGTCTGAGCAGAATTCCAAGGACAGCTCACTAAAAATGCAGACTCTTGGTGATAGTCCCAAAACATGGAATCAACAGCTGTGAAGATGGGGTCGGAGATTCTTATGCACACCTAAATCTGAGTAGCATTATTATCTAGTTCTTAGAAAACCCCGACCTAGTGCAATGGTGTCATAATGGATTCAGCTTCCAGCACCAGCAAAATCTTTCCTTCTCTTGGTAATGAGCTTTCTCTAAAGCAACCTTCTTGTCATCTCACCTGAGATGTCTTCTCATTATGTGAAGAATAATTACCTCAGCCTGGCTTTTAAACATTCTAGAATCCACCTCGGTTTTCGAAACTTTCTCCTACTTCGGTGTTTCAAACTGTGGCCCCACGTCACTAATGATGTCAAGAGGCACCTGGGATGAACTTCTTTTCCTTTTACTTTTCAGCCATATTTGTTTTAAAATGAACAAAGCAAAATTACAGCTACAAAACCCAAACCTGTGATTTCACAATGAATAGTGAGGCCTAAGAAAAAACTAAGTAAAGAAAAGAATCAATTTGTTAAAATATTTAAAAAGAGCACAGAGGCTATTCAGATGAGTCTCAAATCTGAGAAACCTTGTCCTGCTTGGTCCTAACAGGTATGCGCAGTTTCAGCCCTGCTTGTGCATTCTTCAATCCAAACCACAGATATTCTCCACCTATAGTGAAGCGGTACCCATGCCCAGCAAACCGTCTCCAATTGCAGACATTTCTTTAAATGTTACCTGCTTTTTCATGCCTCCTTCTAGGAATCCTGAATTCTTCCAGCTCTCCCAGGACACTTACTTTCTGAATTTGTTTAATCTACTTAGGGTACCTACCACTCAATTGGAACATAATTGCTACTTAAGTATCTATATGCATCTACTCTTAGTATCATGCAAGCCCATTAAGAGCAACCCATGGCCTCTTCTACCTCTGGATTAGCTACAATGCTAAATTCCCCTGGTGGGATCTGAGCACAAAACAGGAATTCGGGGAATACATAGGAATTCCGGGAATACATGGGAATTCAAAGTGCAGTTAAATGAAATATTCTGCCACATGGACAGAAGCCTTTCCTTGCTCTCCACCTCCCTAACCTCAAACCAGACCTCTTAGCCACATGCTAGAAATGGTGGATCTCTTCATTCCTTCCAGTTAAGGAGCACAAAGGCCTGAGTTCAGGAAATTCTGCCCAAAGATGTGATTCTGTGGGTGTACCCTAGATGATGGGGATGGAAAGGTGGCCTGAATCAGTCCAAATGCAACTTGTGTCTGTTTCCAAAGGCCAGTCACCTCTGCCCATGCAGCCCATGTTCAGTCTGGAGGAACCAGAGTAGCCACAGCAGCCTGCCTCAAGTATTTTAATCTATCCAATATCTGTCATACTTCATTCACACTTGCTATATGGCGAAGAGATAATGATTTTGAAAGCACTTTAAGTTATCACACACAATAAAAATGTCAGGGACACAGCACATGAATCTGTAGAGAGAATAAATAGAGGAGGCTAGACAGACTGTCCCCCTCTAGGCAAGCCGTAAGCAAGAGGAGGTGGCAGCCCAACTTCCAACCCACCTGTGCTGGCCATGTGACCTTGATACCCACTTAGTTACTCTGGAACTCAATGTCCTTGTCTGTAACACCTGCTTGTGCACTAGACAATCTGGTCTATAGCCAAATGCAGCACAAATTTGAGAACCTTACAGAATGACAACCAAGCAGAGAGTTCCCAATACATGCTTTACTAGAAGTGTTGATAAGGCAGGGGTATCCTGATGCACCTCAAGTTTGTGGCAGACCCCAGTATCACAGAGCCACTCTCCCTCCAATTGATTCCTGTTTTGTGAACATAGACCTGCTCTCTGCTCACTGCCCACCTTGATGCACATTTTCAAGAAGGCCTCAATCTCCTCACCACCACAGGCAGGTTTTGAGTGTTGAAGTCGCTTCCAAAATTATTTATCCCTTCAGCGCCCCCCACCCCCTACCCGGAACATGCACTGCCTACAGGAGTAAAAGGACCACGGCCATATGTAGAGAGAAAATGGGGAATCAGAGAGGGGTCCCAGGGGAAGAACATCTATGAAATGCAGTAGGATGAAATGCATTGAATTCTCTTGCATTCCATAAAGGTTTGCCTGCTTTGCAAAGTGGAAGCCACAGATCTCCTAGGGTTGTACCTGTGTGGCTAATTGGAGCTTCCCTGTAAGCCCTGTAACCATGGTTTCAAGCAGGCTACATCACAGCCAGAGCAGAAAAAGAGCAATTTTTTTTCCTATTTTCCCCTAAAACCCTATGTCCTTGAAAAAAACATTAAGGTGACATGCCAAGGGGGTTCATATGCAACCTCTGGCCCCTAGGATATTCAGGAGTTGGCTGTTTTTCAGTAGAAAGTGATTCCTCCATATCTCTTCATGAGTCTAAGGTAACTCTTTCTGTGTAAACCAAAGAATCTTGAAAACATATTCATCCAGAGCAATGCTTGTCCTGAGTGGAAACATGTAACAAATACAGAAACTTATCTCCTAATTTAACACCTTTTGCTCCAGGAAGAGCTTCAAAGAAGAAAAGAAAAAAAAGCAAATAAGCTTGCTTCTCTCTGCTTGTCCAAGTGCCAAGATTGCATCTATCTGGCTTACATTGACAAGACCTATTTCCAAGTGCCTAATATTGAACTATTTAATCAATTAGCAATTAACTCGGTCTCAGAGATAGTATTTTATTATTTTATGCTACTGTATCTTGGTAATCAAAACAAGAAGCAATATAACTTTAAGCTTCGAAGCACTGACTTCCATGAAAATACAACATTCTGGATGAATGGGCAATGAATTGGGCGAAACGGGCTCCACTGATGTTTGGAGACTCTAGAGGGGGCATCCTGGAGAAGAACAAATTTTTTTCTTTGATGTCAGAAGATGAGCTAGCCACACATGCAGTAGAATAGAAACAAGCAAGCTTCCTTCTGGAGGGAAAAATAAAAGCAACTCCTCACTTGGCTAGCAGGACAAAGCCAGGACGTGCAAGAAACCTTCAGTCTGAGCTCCACGTGCCTCTCCAAGGATGGAGGGACCCACCCACACACAATTGCTCCGAACCAGCCCACCACGCGCCTGCGGAAGGCGCCAGGTCCTCTGTCAACCTTCAGCACCAGCGGCCCAGGGCTCTCCCAACTTGCAAGCCCCCTGCAGTACCCTCTGCCAGGAGGGCACAGAGCCGGCAGAAGGCTATACCCTCCTTTCATGTCCCATCTTTCTCACGCCAAAGTCTGTTTCTTCTCAGCTACGAAGTGAAACGTGCCCTTCCAAAGAAACTGAGACGTACATGCACACACCCCAGTCGCCAATTGAGTTTCGGAGAAGACCTATGTCCAAAGCCTAGGCAGCCAGTCTTTCCCCCGGGACCCCAGGGCCGGGTTCCCGTAAGGGGAGCGGCCGGACTCACCCAGTCCTCGAAGTGGCGGCTCCCGTTTTGCAGCAGCTCCTCAAACTGGATGGTGCAGTTGGCCACGAAGTCATCGTAGCCGATGGGGGCATCGTGAAAGACGGCCAGCTCAATCTTGCGCCCATTGCACACATCCGTGACGAACTCATCGTGCCAGGCCGGGCTGTTAGTCTTCTGTTTGGTGGCGGTTTGGCCGATGCGCGAGTCGTCCACGTTGAGGGCGATGTAGGGGTCGAGAAGGAAAGTCTGTGGCCGGGGTCCCACCGCATGGCGCAGCGACCACGCTGTGGGCTTCAAGCTCACGGCCTCACAGATTTTGATCTTAAGAAGGCCATTGAAYACTACCATGGTCGGGGCGGGGAGTGGGGGCCGAGGTCACTCCGTCCGCCCCGAAGGCCGGAATGAAGAACAGACCGCGGGCGCTCTGAGCCACGGGGACTCCTGGGTCCCCTCTTGCTCCACCCAACTCACTCCCTACACCTTGTGGCGTTGCGCCCGGGCGCCGGCGATTCTCAGCGAGTGCATGTATTTCCTCGCCGGGTTCCTAACGGAAAACAGGGAGGGGGGGAGAGCCGGGAGACGTCCGTGTTTGGAGCAAGTCTCTCCCCCCCTACCACCAGCGGCACCTCCAGAAGAGAAGACGAGCTGTGGACTCCACCGCAAGCCGAGGGGGCTGCCTCGCCGCCTCGCTGGCTCTCGGGTCCGGGTGCCGGGAAGCGGGCGCCGCGCCCGGCGCTTACCTACCTTTCCGAAACATAATCCCCGGGAAATTTCGACTCCGGGAGGGGGAGGGGGCGGTAGAACGGGGCGGGGACGAGAACCGGGGGCGCAGATTTCAACCCGGATCCTCTTCGCCCACCCAGCGCCTGCCTCTGACCGCGCGGGGCGGGGAGTGGACCGAGGGATGTGCAGTCTATCCGGAGGGATGCATGTCGAGAGGAAATGGTCCTCCTCGGAGCCAAATTTTTAAAAATCCACAAGCCACACAGCCAGCCCGGCCGCCGCCTTCTGATCGAAGCAGAGCCGTGCCGCAGCCGGCGTTCGGGAGGCGCCAGGAGACCGGAATCTTACAGTCGCKCGGGCTCAGGAGTCGGGTGGCCGCCGTTCGGGATCGGGGCGCAGGCCGGCACCCGGCGGTGCGCAGCGCGGCGGCGGGGCCGGGACTGCGACTCGGCGCGGCCCCACCTCCTGGGCGCCAGCGCCCGCCCGCCGCGCTCCCAGCGTCCCAGCTCTCGCCTGCCGCTCGCTCGCTGCCCGCCAGCCCGCTCTCCCCCACGGTCTCTTCTCCCTCGGTCGGTGTGCGAGCGAGTCTCCCTCCCTCTAATGCAGGAAATGCGCAAAAGACGTCAGTGTGTGAGTGTGTGTGTGTGTGTGTGTGTGTGTGTGTGTGTGTGTGCACGCGCGCGCGCGCGCGCCAGTGTTTAGGGAAATAGAAAGTTTTGCCGGTTGGGGGAGCAATACGGGAAAAGTGAGCGGAGGAGAGAACAGCAAAGAGCGGGCCAGCCTGCCTGAGTCGAGCCGGCGGGCGGGGGAGCCCGGAGGGAACCCTGAGTGGAAGCCCTGGGAGCGGCAGCATGGGGGTGCGGGAGCGGGAGCTCCGAGCGATGGATGGATACGTCGTTTTGGGTCTCCACCGGGAGGGGACCGGGCCGCGCACCTTTCGTGGACGCTGCGGCCAACTCTTTAAGAGTTGGGGAGAGAGGAGTGGCGGGGATCGCGTTGCCCCCAGAGGACTCGGGAACCCCCCCCCCCCCCAGGCCTACCCTACTGGGGCAGTGGCCGGCCAGAGAAGCCTGCGAGTGTTGACCTGTCATTCTGTCCCGGGACGCTCAGCTCCCTGGCAGTGGGGGAGGGGCTCCTGTGAGTTTTTTAAAGGGGATTATTGTCTCTTCCGTTTCTTTGGGAAGCGTTCGCCCCTTGGGGATCTGTCCTGGACCCCTCTGGGTGTGAAAACTTGACGAGAGAAAGCTTGGTCGAACCCCGGCCAGGCCCGGCTTGTGTGTTTATATTTACAGAGTGTGTTTTCCTTTTTACGCTGGACCCCGTCCGTGCCTCGGAGGGGCACACCGGGTCCGATTAGTGCGCTGACAGCCGGCGTCCGGGCTTCGGGAAAGCGGGGCGCGCCCTCCGGGGGGCGAGTGGCGGTGCCCGCGCTAATTTCCTCCGTAACCTTTAAACTCTCGCTGGAAGCCGCCGCGGCGGCTGGTCACGTGAGGCGAGCCCTGGGCTGCTGGGGAAGAATTTCCTCCGCGGGGAGCCGGGGCGAGGAACGGCCCCGCGCCGGGAGACTGGGAACCTGCAAGGGCGGGGCGGAGAGCGCCCAGGCCTGGGGTGCGGCCCAGCTGTAGCTGCAAGGCTATGGCGGGAAGAGATCGACCTGGGAGCTGCAGTGCTTTGAAAGTGGAAGAAGAAACCTCTGCTTTTTTGTGTCTGCCAAGTCAAGTCCCATAGTTTGTAGGATAGTAGTAAATTGAGTGTTTATCTGACGGATCTGATTAGTGTAGACTAAAATTTAAAACCCGCCTCCCGATCATTTTTTCCTCACTGGAAAAGGTTATCATTGCTTGTGGCTTAAAGGCTTAAAAGGGCTTAAAAACGAAGACGGCTGCCCCTTGGAACAACACGATCCACATATAGTGCAACACAGACTTCTCAAAATCATCGGAAGGGTCCCAAGGCCATTGGGGCARGTCCTCCAGTCCCAGAGGAGCACACAAAGTAGCCACCTGCAGCCAATACCGGAGAAATTACTGGTATTTCTTAGATCTGGTCCAATTGCTTGGGGTAGCTAAGTAGAGATGRTGCTAAAATGCAGTCTTGGGGACAGCCGAAATAATTCTCACTCAAAAAGTCAGGATTTTAAAGTGTGCCTTACATGGTCACTTCAGCCAGCTGGAGGTGTGATATTTTAAAATATCAGTTTGACAAAACACTAGCAGAGACATCTCATTGCTGTTTGTTTTCTCATTTCTTTGATCACTGGAATTTTTCTTTCTTGCTTCTCAATTCCATTATTGTATTCTTCCTGACCTTACTGGAGATTGAACCCAAGGGCTCTTTACCACTTAGCCACATGCCCAGCCCTTTTGAGTTTTGATTTTGAGACAGGGTCTTACTAAGTTGCTGATGCTGGCCTAGAACTTTCAGTCCTACTGCCTTGGCCTCCAGAGTTGGGGAGGTACAGGTTGTGTGACATACATTCCCTCCCCTTCCACCACTGTGCTCAATTTTCCATCTTGGGGAATGTGATAGAAGGTAATGGCACATAGGGCTTGATCTTCTGAAAATGTGTTCTGGAAGCAGAGTCAGCAGTAAAATGAGCTGTGTGAGATACTTTTCAAGCAAGCAAAATGTAAAGAATACCAAGAAACTCATTAATCAAAATAAATAATTTTAATGCATTTTTTAAAAATAAAAATATAAAAATTTAAGAATATCCAAATCTTAAATAATTTTAAAACTACACTAAAATATTGTTTCTATTGCTGAGTTTATTGGCAACCATTAAATTTTATACCCAACCAAATGTTTCTTTTGCCTCACCCTTATCTTGGCTCAATTGGGAAATCTAGAATGCCAAAAATTTATGAAGTTAGGGATCCTTGACTAGTTAGTATTTCATACTGTCTCTCTAACTTACTCTGGCAGCTCCTATGTTATATACAAACAGAAACACATTGGATTTAAAAATATTGAATTAAATCCCTCCTCTTTTGTATATTAAACAGAAAGTAAGTTTAGAATTAAGGACACACTGAACTTGAACCTTTTGCATGTGTCTGTTTATTTTTTACAAAGTGAGTCTTCTATTTATATGGGTCCTTGGCTATGCCACTCAGGAGGACATCACCTCTGAACAAGCACTGCTGCCCAAGTGAGACCCTAAATATATTCAATAGGGTCTGTTGCTATCTCAGTGACTATCGTAAACAGATAACCAACAAACTTCCAACACAATTGCCTTGCACATTGGGCAAAGTTACAGGAAGGCGACACCTGCCTCTTAAGAGGCTGTTATCCATGTGAGTAACCGGTCTGCAATTCTCAGAGTCAGCCAATACCAGTCTCCTTTCCTTTACAAGTTTTACAGACTACAAAAAGACTTTGCCAAACAAAATGCCTGCTTTTTAATATTTACATTAAAAGGGAGAATGCATGTATTCTACATGCAAACACTGCTTGTTTCTTGCCCTTCTTACGTTCTTATTTCTAAATAAATATCTTACCTTCCCACAGTCAAACTTGACCAAATGAAAATATGTATTTATTTGGGTTAGTAGCTGGGGTCTACATTGTGCAATATGCCCTTTGGGTTCAACAATGGCCCCCTTATTTCATAATCATTGAGAGAAGAAAGAAAAATGATGGAAGAATGTAACAAAGATGATGAAGATAGGGCCTCTCTCCTTTTAAAATTAGTTGATGAGAAAAGGATTGATAGAGCGGCAAGCATACACAGGGCAGTGTGGTCAATGTTGCAATAGATCCAGGGATGGGAGTGGCATCCCTTGCCTGGAGAAGCTTACCAACGTATCACCTCAAAGGTCCTTTGAGCATGGAGTTCCTCCAGCTGCACAAAAAAAAAAAAAAAAGCAAGGAAAGGGCATTGGCAGCAAAGGGAGCAGAGTGTGCCACACAGTTAGAAAAGGCTGTGGCTACTGGGGAAGAGTAAGGGGCTGGGTGTGCCCCTTACATAATATTTACATTAAAAGGGAGAATGCATGTATTCTACATGCAAACACTGCTTGTTTCTTGCCCTTTTTTTGGCAGATAGTAGTGGGAGATGAGGCAGGTTGGAATCAGACAGTTAAGATCTGGTGGGACCTGTGGATGGGTTTGAAATGTTTCCTGGATAGACACTGAAAAACTACTATTTTTTTTTAGTTATTTATTTTTATGTGGTGCTGAGGATCAAACCCAGCACCTCACACATGCTAGACAAGAGCTCCACCGCTGAGCCACAACCCCAGCCAGAGACACTGAAACTTCTAGTGGGCCAGCAGCGTGACAAATTAATACTTTAAAAAAGCAGTTTTGTGACAGATGAATATTTTTCTCTTTTATAACTTTTCCTCCAGCAGACTCACCTCAAAATAGGGTGTTAGAAGATTCAACTCAAAAAAATGATTTACATTCTGATAAAAAAAAAAAAAAGAATCAGTCGGTGGATATTGTTTAGATCAGCTAAAGGCAGCAGGGAAGGGGAGCTGGAACCTAGAGCAGCGTGTTAATATTCATGTCCCTGCCGCTGTGCTGCTTGTTGCCATTTATAGAATGTTAATGGGCCTCTGGAAGGTCTGCCTGGTCAGGGTCTATCAGACATTCCTCACATGCTCTGTTGAACAGAATTCAACCACCTGGGCCATGGGATGGAATGTGCAGTGACACAATGACAGAGCCCTGCCAGGGAGGCGCAGCCCAGCTCCCACCCAACTCCCAGTCAGCTCCTAACTCTCCCCCAGGCCCACCTTCTGTGTGGCTGGCTTCTGTCTGGCCTGCCCTGGCTTCTTATTTTAGATCAACCTCTGCTCTGAACTCTTCTGCAGTAAGCTTTGTTTGCACCTGTGAGGATTCAGAGGGTTCTGAGGCAGCCTCACAGAGATTAAAGAGGGAGGAGATGGCCTGGTGCCCTTCCTTCCTCAGTTCCCTGGACTGTGAGCCCCGCTCTCTAGGACACCAGATGGAAATAACATCACACATATGTTCTTTGGTTGGCTGTTGCACTGGGTCTTGGGACCTTTAAGTACATATATAATCCAAGAGTCTTTACTAAGTACGTGCTATGTACAAGCTATTAGGGCATGTGCTCTACAGAGGATAAGCAGATACTGGATAATTCCTACTCCAGTCAGGGAGATTAGATCAATTCAGTCAGTCATGTATTAGTTGGGATTGGCCCTTCATTAGTCAGGATTGGTAGGACATGTTGCTATAATAAGCTGTCCACAAATCTCAAAGTCTTGAAATGACAAAAGTTTCTTCTCAGTAGTGACAGATGCTGGAAACTCTGCTCCATATCAGCATTATCTTTGCTCCTGTGTCCAAGCTGACCAAAGACTCACCAACTGGAACGTGGATGGTGATAAGCAGAAAGCAAAAGGATGTCTGGAGAGTCTTAGGCAATTCAATAGTCTCCTCCCCTACCAAATGCTAAATATCTGCTACTGGTTGAGGGGAGAGGGATCATATCAGCCATATGATCCCTCTCCCCTCAACCACAAGGGAGCTAGGAAGTTCTACCATCTTCCAGGGCAAGGAGCCTGGAGTATTTGGTGAGTAGCATCAGAGATGGCCATAGAAATCAATCTCAAATAACTGCTGCAGAAAAATAAATCAAGGTGGCACATAGCAAATGA